GTAAATATCTTTCTTTCTTTTTTAGGTCTCGACATGATGGAAGGAGGAGTGATATACTTGCAGACTCTTATGGAAAACAAGGATGAAATTAAAAGTGTTTAGCCAGAGAAATATTTACAAATGCGATGTTCAATCTTCCTCAATATCAGGATTTTTATACAGGAAGTTCCTACATTTTATTCATGTTTGGTTTGGTTTTGAGACAATATTCAGTAAGTAGGTTAATTGAATGATAATTAAGTGATGCTTTTATATTTATGTTATGTCATGCCAATAGTCCTTTTCTTTAAATTACGACTTCTTTCTCATCTTCCCATTTTCTTTGTTTTTTAGAGGAAGATCAACGTAGCTGAGGTGGTCCCTCTCCCTCCATGTTGCTCTTACACATAGTTTAGCCCAATGATCATTGTCTTGGCCCAATTGGCAGGCGCTGAAGCGGGCCTCACTACGCAGGTCTACGTGATGATGTAGATTTGGGGAAAGGTTTTAAGCTACGCCCTTCGAAGTGTTTGGCCACTATGATGACATTTACCCATGTTCATAAATTCAAGCAACATGAGGAACATATATTTATAACTTTGGTGTACTTATATGGTTTCAAGTTTAAACCGAAAAGCTAGAAAGTTTAGTGGTAAAAGAACAAAACAAGATTTTATGAGTTATTGAGTTCAAGTCTTTACATATCCGTGACCACTGAAGAGTTTACCTAGTCATCAATTTTAAGACTTCGAAAGATTAATTCAAGTGTGCACAAAGTGGTCCAAACACCGCATCAAAAAAAAAAAAAAGAGGATTAATTGATGCACTTAACTTATGAAACTTCGAAGAAAGTATTGAAAGAGCACAAAGTATCCATGTAATCTTATAAGATACAAAGTTGAGAAGATGGCAATCATATTCATATTCATAGTTTAGAAGTGCAATATTATATTGAAGTTAATAACAAATAATGAAATCAAATTTTACAACAATCATTGAAGATTAAACTGACTAGTGTAGATTTACACTTAAACAAATGAAATTAAAGTTGAAAGTGATTGGATATAAAAAAAAAAAAAAAAATGAACAGGCTGTCCACCGGACACTTCCTTCTTAGTAGCTGTGGATGTCCTTTCCCAACCTGTCTCTCTATTCTATATCTGTATCTTTTTTTCTCTTAAGAGTCCCTACTTGAAGCTCCTTTCAAACTCGCTCCACGCGCCACCACCCACCGTTGTTTAAAACACAAGCTATGCTGTTTGCATAAGGAATGAAGTAGCTTTTCAAAACTGCGAACAAGCGGTGGGTGGGGCCTTGAACTTTGATGGTCTTTTTTATATGAAACGTGGGGCAGGAATAGGATAAGCTCTACGCTTCAAGTTATATCTTTTACCGAGAAATGGTGGTGGTGTCGTTGGGCTGCTATCATTTTGAAAGACAAGTAATTGTCACGCTTTCAATTAATTAAAAAGCTTGATTTGTCTGGCAATGGCATAAAATGGGAGTTTTTGGACTTGTATAATGGTTAATAGTTGTATAGCATTCTCGGTAGAAAGCATTGTCAAAAGTTGTTTCGGGTGCACCACTCTAACCTTTTCTTTTATTTCTTTACTATTTTAAATATAAATACATAAAATTGACTTTATATTCAACTTGAAAAGAGGTTTAAATGGTTAATAGTTCAATAAAAAAATTTATGTGTATTTAAAAAAACTAATAGGTTTAAGTCTCTTTTTAGATGTTAATAAAGATAGCTATTAAAAATCTTATTTAATAAAAAAATTTAAGATTATAAGAAATTAATTAAGATATATGTGCACCACAATCATAAAATAAAAAAGCCTCGAAATGGCTGAGTTAAATTAGCTGAACGTAACATGTTAGCGATGATGGAGCAGTAGGATTGGAGGTTAAAAAAGTAAAAGGAGTGTTTTGAATTCTTTTGGAAAAAAGTGAAACCCAAAAGCAATTTATTTTGCGTTTTAAATCATTACAACCACGCTCCAATCATACATTTACAAACTAACACCTTCATTTTTTTTATTGTTTTAATTTCCTAATTCTTACATTATCTAATCTTATGTGTGTCGTATGCCCATTCCCATAATTATATTAAGTACAGATTTGCAGAGACTTCAACGTATTCTGCTGCAAATCTTCCACCTTCAATTTAATTTTGTTGTTTGTATAAGAAATAAAAATACCTAATTTTCTTGTTTTGTCGTTGTATTTATACTTGTATTATTGTTTCTTTCCCATGACATATTTTGCCATCTTTAAAATATAATAAATACATTTATGGATATTGAATGGCACAACCTGCTAAACAATTATGCAAAGATAACATTGTTGTAAATATATTATAATTTATTTTATTTTTCAAATTTTTATATTAAAAACAATTGATCAACAATAAAAAATTACAGTCATTAAATTTTAAAATTAATTTGAAATATAAGTTTTTGTCTATTGATTAAGTTAGGAAGAGTAATTTAAAAAAAAAAAAAATGAGTTAATGGCTTTTTTCTCACCCAAATAATGGCTTAACGACACTTTTTCACTTACAAATTTTTAAAATATCACTTTTTTAATTCTGTCATCGTTGCGACACCATTATTCTTTTTCTTGATTATCACTCACTAAAACCCTTCAAATCCTATTTTCGCATACCTCGTCAATCGCCAACAATCGAGAGATTAAGGTTTGTGAAATCGCTTTTCCCAAGTCAAATTTAGATCAATCCCAACCACTAGAACCCAATCTTTCACAACCAAAACACTCATCGATCTCTCATCATCAAAAGCCCCAACAGCTTGTACCGAGTTTGTTCTTTGTTTGCTGTTGGAATATAAATTTAGATAATAAAATGATATTTTAAAAGTCTATGGATAGAAAAGCACATTAAGTCATTAATTGGATGGGTAAAAGTCGTTAACTCCTTTTCAAAAAAAAAAATGTTACTCCCATGTCGAGTCATCAACTTCTAAGTTTTAGATTGTATTGAATTAAAGGTTAATAATAGGTGTTTAATTATTTTATCTCTTAAGAAATATAAATCCCATTTTTAAAATCGTGACACAAAGATATTTAGTTAAAATCACAAATCAAAAAGACATATTTAATGTTGACAACTTAATAAGTCTCTATTTCGTTAAATTAAAATAATAAATATGAATGGATGAAAATTTAATCAAGTACAGAAGCCATCCCAGGCATACAGAAACCATTAAAATTGCTTGTAATTGAACTTGTCGAAGATGTATTTCAGGGTCCAAAAACAATGAATTTGAATTTTGAAATTAATAATAGTATGGCTAAATTTAGAAGACCGACGTTAGAAAAAATAAAGGAAATATATATATATATTTTAATTGGAAAGGCAAGATGAATTATCAATCACTGAGCAATTTGGGTTTTGAATTAAAAAAAAAAGGGTAATTTGATCCTGAAAATTTAGAATATAATTTTCCAAAGGTAATAAAAGTGAAATACAAAATATTTTAAGAAATACCACTGAGTACAAGAGTCTCTCAAGTTCGAATCCTCTTGATGGAAAAAAAAAAAAAAAAAAATATATATATATAACATGATCTCCTAAATTCAAGTCCCCTTAAAGGTAAAAAAGAAAAACAAGAGGAGGATCTAACATAGTCTTCCAAGTTCGAGTCCCCATAGTTATTAATAGAAATGACCACTAGAGTTCTTACCCAACTGATAGTTTCAGAGTTTTAAGGAATTAGTTGATGTACGCGTAAATTGACCCGAACATCTAAGTCATAAAACAAAAAAAATGTGTGTTACCAAATCCTAAAAAGATACCTATAAAATTATTGAAAGAGTCGTTGATCTTTAGTCACTCAGCGTTATATAAAATCACATGAAGATCATTTTGTTTATACGAATTTGCTAAGCTAACACTTCGACATTCAAGTCTCTACAAATCAACTTACGTTTGTCAATATACAAGAATCTCGCGGTTTGTAGAGAAAGTATGTGTACTTGTATTTTGTCGTGTTACATTATTATAAAGTTATATTATTTAAAAAAAATATATATATTGAAGATTTGGATGGATTGAATATCCCATTCCTGGAAGACAGGCAAATACAACATTAATAGATATTTTAAAATGCATAACCACCATGTCTTAGAGTTGTTAGACCACCACTTTTATCATATATAATTATATATATGAACATTTATATATTTTTATTTTTTATTATTGCTTATATATCCTCATTTAAATGCACTTGTAAATTATAATATCCATCAAAATTAACTAACTCATGTGAAATTATAACCTCCATCTCATCATTACACTGCTAATTTTATTTTATTTTTTATCATTGGAGTTTTTAAATCACTTTATATATACCTCAACTAATCTTGGAAACCCATTGAACACTCTATAAACTTAATGTTATAAAAAATTAATAAAAAGAGCAAAAGTTTTTTTTACCGCAAATCAACCCTTGAGATTTAATAGTTGCTACTTCACTGGCTTCTTTTAGGTATTTGTCTTTCTTAAATCATTCCTTTTTACCTCAAATGTCATAACACTTATTAATGCATTTCCAAATAAATAAAAATAATAAAGCATGAAAACGTTTCAGTAAAGTGATTTTTTTTCTTTCTATTGTTATATTTCCTTCACTTTATATAAATGATTAAAATAATACATTTATATAAAGTAAAGTTTAATACTGTAATTATAAAAATTAAGATATAAAACTTTTATGTAATAATAAAAAGATCTAATAATGTTTTGTTTATAAGTAAGTTATATAATAAGATAAAAATTTTACAAAATTTATATAAAATGACAACTCTATTCCTTATTTTTTATCTGTTTGTATGAATTGATTATATAAGTCAGTTACAAAAGTAACATTGTTAAAAAAGATCAGTTTGGCAAGAGTATTGCAATATTGCGTAACTAAAATGTAGTTCCATAACAAAAGTTCACATTAAATGGAAAGGTGTAATACAATAATAATACTAAGCATTTTATATGTGCACAATAATGATAATTATTAACTTACACTTCGTCTTTTGAAAAAACCTATCCCTAACCCTTTCTCTACAACCTAAAAGCAAACACACATACTCAAACTCAAAGCTTTAAGTTATGGATTTAAACACGGACCAACCACCATTCTGGTCACAACCCATCACCTCCATGCCTCGCCGCCGCTCATCGGCTCCTTTTCTCCCTCTTCCTATTCTCATCGTACTCTTACCCATCATCGCTTTACTTATCCTCTTTTTTGCTCTCCCTCCATTTCTAACTATAACTTCGCAAATTATTAGACCTTATGGTACTGTTAAGAAAGGCTGGGACTCCCTCAATATTGTCCTCGTCTTGTTCGCGATTCTCTGTGGCATCTTCGCCAGAAGAAACGACGATGGATCAAACACCGACAACAACGTTAACGATGTTTCAAATATTCCGGATGGTTTGGACAAGAACGTCAGCCAGCCTCATTCGAAACCATGGTTTGGCGATCACTTTTCGAATACGAAAATTTACGATCGCCCTATAAGCACACCGGTAACCGGCACGAGCCGGTTGAGGAGGAGCAGTAGCTCGTACCCAGATCTGAGACAAGACGGCTTATGGGAAACCGGCGAAGATCGGTACCGGTTCTTTGATGACTTCGATGTACAAAACAGATATCGTTCACATGTCGATGGACTAGATAATAATTCTGCTCAACAAGTACTGCGAAGAACAAGAAGTGATTTTGAAGAATACTCTCAAGTTAAGGTAGTACCATTGGATACCTTTGTAATTCGTTCTTCACACATGTCACCTCCAAAGTCGCCCACGCCGCCTCCACCACCACCACCACCACCACCACCACCACCTCCGCCACCTGTGGTTCGTCACGGGCCTAGAAGAACATATCAAACTGTAGGACTTAAAGAAAGGAACGTCGAGTGTGATGTTCATACCAACAAAGTTAAATCGCCGCCTCCAGCTGCACCACCACCCCCACCGCCACCGCTACCGGGGGCACCTCCTCCTCCTCCACCACCCGTGCAAATGGGGTATAGATCGGAGCACAAGTATGTGAAAATTGAACGCAGAAAAAGTAATGCAACAAAGGAGATTAAGATGGTTTTCGCTTCATTGTATAATCAAAGAAAAAGAATAAAGAAGAAACACAGGACAAATAATACAGAAGAGTACGGTAAGTCTGTTCATTCGCCACCTGAACCACCTCAATATTCAAGCGTACCGCCACCATCCCGACCGCCTCCGCCACCTCCAGTCCCTCCACATCCTTCATTGGTCTTTCAAAACCTATTCAAAAAGAGCAGCAAGAGCAAAAAAGTCCATTCAGTCCCTCCACCAGCTCCACCGCCACCTCCACCACCGCGTTCAACGAAGAGAAGGAGCCAGGCTCCGCCTCCTCCACCAGCGCCACAAACACTGCCACCGCAGCCTCCGAGGAGGCGAAATGGGGCCACAAGCGGCAAGCCACCGTTACCGACAAGAGTAAACAATTCGTACAGCGAGAATCCTAATAGTAGGAACCAATCCCCGTTAATTCCGGTGCCGCCGCCACCACTCCCGTTTAAAATGCCGGAATGTAGGTTTGTGGTACGCGGGGATTTCGTTAGCTTACATAGTGGTCGCAACTCTCAGTGCGGCTCTCCTGACTTGGAGAAGGTTGATAATGATGTTTCGTCAACTAAGGAGTCAACGGATGAGAAAGTCAAAGTGATGGACGGTGAAGATGGACTTGGGTCAGTGTTCTGTCCGAGTCCTGATGTTAACATTAAGGCTGACACCTTCATTGCGAGGCTGAGGGATGGGTGGAGACTTGAGAAGATGAATTCGTTGAGAGAGAAGCGGAAAATGGGCTCAGGCCCAGGACCAAGCCCAGATCCGTTACAGATATGAGAAGCCCAAATTCAAGGAAAGTGAAGTTGCGTACAATTCCTCAAATTTTTTTCTTTGGGTAATGGTTTGATTTGATATGGTTAGTATAAACACACAAAATTAACATATACTACATGGGTTTTTCTCCTTAAGCGAGATTTTACGGGGAATATAATTTTGGTCACATATTGGAATGACCATAAATGATTAGCTGATGAGTGTTCCAATCAGGCAAAGATTAATATTGCATGCAATATATTATAGAGAATATTAAGGGCTCTCAATGTGGGTTTTTTATTTTCACCAATTGGAGCTCTTTGTAAGATTTGAATTGTTTGATTGTATTTGGGCTCTAATGATGGTTTTTTTTGTTCATATATTGGAGCCTTTAGCTGAGATTGTGAGGATTGTTGTTACATTTTATATTATAGACAATGTATAGGTATGCACTACAATGACATGGGTCTCCAAGTGTGGTTTTTTTTTTTTTTTTATTTCCTCTTGGAGCTCCTTTTAGAAGATGAGAGTTTGGATTTTAATAAAACAATTTTATCGTTTGATGTTAATGATAAAAAGTTATTTGGACCTTTTCATGTATTTCTACCATACACCCTAATCCAAGCGAAAATGACAAAACGATTCCAAGGAGAAAATTAATAAAGAAAGGAAGTTGAGTATGTCTAGCTTCATTTCAACATAAATATAGAAATGAGAATGAATCTCTTTCCAGGTCCTATTTGTATTCAGAGCGATGTGGATTGATTTGATGCACCATTCTACTTAAACATAGCCAACCTCCAAACTTAAGATAAATAATAGCCTCAACCAGGCCACTTCATCATTAAAAACTACAAAACTTTTCTGAAATAGTACTTCCGATATTATGTGTAGAATAAACCATCATTCTTTCTCAATTTAACACAGTTGTGGAATTTTCAAAATCATGTGTTCTTTTATATTTAATTTAAATATATATATTTTTATAAATACGAGTTTATTTTGAATAATTTTGATTGATTTTATCTAAAGAAATTACTTAATTATTAAAAAAAAATAAAAAATAAAAGAAAGAGGGTTGGTTCTTATAAACTTTGTTAAACTACGGGCCATACGGCCCATACTTTAAAAAGCCCAATAAAGGCCCAAATTTCAACTCCACTTCAAAACCTCCCGGTTTCACTCTGTAGCCAACATTAAACACTCCAAGAATCTCCCAAAAAAAGACCCCCAAATTCTTGTAGGGTTCAATTTCTACACCAAATCGATGAAACTTGCAGGCCTAAAATCTGTAGAGAACGCACACGACGAGTCTGTGTGGGCGGCCACATGGGTGCCTGCCACCGAAACTCGACCGGCTCTCTTGCTCACCGGGTCCTTAGACGAGTCCGTCAAATTGTGGCGGCCCGACGAGCTGGAGCTGGAGCGGACCAACACCGGCCACTGTTTAGGCGTGGTTTCAGTGGCTGCACACCCTTCCGGTGTTATAGCTGCCTCAGCTTCTCTCGACAGCTTCGTTCGTGTCTTCGATGTTGATACCAACGCCACTATTGCTACTCTCGAAGCTCCTCCCTCTGAAGTTTGGCAAATGCAGTTCGATCCCAAGGTAACCACTAATGTGCTAAGTTTTGGATATTTTGTTTTAAGATTTTTGGTTTAATTTATATGCGGGTAAGTGATCGAGCTATTGAAGTCTTTGTTTTAGTAGGTTTTAATTCAATTGAAGCGCTAAATTCACTAGGTTGGTTTTATAAAACCCGATTCAAAGTTACTAAATTCACAGCATTTCACTAATTACCATTACTGTCGAACAATTTTAAAGAAAATAGGAATAAAAAATTTACTGGATATCCATGTAGTTTACCTGGAAGATGTTCTTTGTTTTGTGTTTGCGCGGGAAATAAATAACTTATGAATTGGTTGCTGATGGCATTAGGAGGCTTGATGGAGATGTAGTTTAGACATTGATGTTTGGATGTCTGTTTATATTCATAATGTTCTATATATGTTTCTTGTTATTGGTTTATCATAGAAATCTCATTTTTCCGGAAAAACTTATTCATCCACATACAGTTTCTGGAAAAATGAGTGTTGCTTGCTAGGCTAGGAGGCTTCTCTAGTTTTTTATTTTCCCACTGTAGCACTAATCTGTTCAGTAATGAGGGGAAATACATTTTACAGTATTGTTAGCAAATTATTAATCTTGTGAAGATAGCTTCTTGGAAGCAAAATCTTTGTATTTTTTTGCTTGTGAGTTGCAATATTTATCTATTGGAATGTTTTCTGGAAATTTTATGTTAAGAATACTATTATTATGGATGAGTATTTTCCTGTCATCAGATTCAGTCTTCCAGTGGAACATATCAGACTTAAATATATGATGCATTTTAACAGAATTCTATTACTGGAGTGTTTGATTCATTAGTCGGGAAGGCACACTCACTGGCTGATGTATCTTTTGTTTATGGTATGCATGTTTTCTCTTTTGAAACCTGTGCTGTGTGTCTGTGCATGAGTATGAGTGTACAATGAAAATTTAATGGTTTTGGACTCAGTGTTTAAGGGTAGTATATCCTGAAAACCATTCACAGTTTTATTTAGTTGTCGCATTTTTTTTTTGGTTGATAGGGAACAAACTGTAACTTGTATGTTAATATATATATATTTTTTTTTGCTTGGAAACAATATTTAGGCTTGTCCACAATGCATGAGTATTTCATGTTTTCATTTTCAGAATGTCATAGGATCAACTGGTACAGTTTGCCAACATTACAACTATAATAATTTCTTATGTCCACAGTTTACTGCATTGACAGATCCATCTTCATTGTTGTGACATCCTTTGTAACTATTGATGCCTTGACTCTGATGATTACTATGACTCTATGAGGCAAGAGTTAAGCTCAAAACAGTTTGTTCACTGAAAAATGTAGGTCATTTTGACTGTCAAAACTACTTCTAGTGTCCAATATGCACAGACCTCTCACAGTCCTTTCTATGCTGTATAAATTGAGTTCTTATCTCAAAGTGTATATGTTAAAGAGTGATTGGCTCTGTGAACTTGCCAAAAACATATGCTGCCATAGAAACATCACTGAATAAAAGGGGTGCTCTTTGTCTTGTGCAAACCAGTTGATGAGAGGGGAAAGCTTATGTTTTCATTTTATAACAAGTCATGCTAACTGTAGCTCCATTCAGGGCACCACACTTGCAGTTGCTGGAGGGGGTAGTGCATCAATCAAGCTTTGGGACACTGCCACATGGAAATTGGTTGCCACCCTTTCAATTCCTCGACCAGAAGGACCCAAGCCCTCAGATAAAAGCAGCAGCAAGAAGTTTGTTCTATCGGTTGCATGGAGTCCTGATGGCAGAAGACTTGCTTGTGGTTCAATGGATGGCACTATTTCTGTTTTTGATGTAGCCCGCTTTAAATTCCTGCACCATCTGGAAGGCCATTTCATGCCAGTTCGTTCTCTTGTATATTCTCCCAGTGATCCACGTGTTCTCTTCTCTGCATCAGATGACGCTCATGTGCACATGTATGATGCTGAGGGGAAAAGTCTGGTCGGGGCTATGTCTGGTCATGCTAGTTGGGTATTGAGTGTGGATGCAAGCCCAGATGGAGCAGCCATTGCGACAGGATCAAGTGATAGAACTGTAAGGCTTTGGGATCTTGGCATGAGAGCCGCTGTGCAGACAATGAGCAACCATACAGACCAGGTTTGGGGAGTGTCGTTTAGACCACCGGGAGGTACTAGTGTTCGGGCAGGACGGCTTGCTAGTGTGTCAGATGACAAAAGCATATCACTCTATGGTTACTCCTGAAGATAATGGCATCTCTGGAGTATTAGGAATTTGCTTCTGTTAGAGATGTTAATGCTTGTTGTTCTTAATCTCATTGGTCTCATGAGATTAATTTAATTTTAGGCCTTTCCTGGTCGTCTGTTTAAATTAATTTGTGGTTAGACAAGACAGGTTATTTATAAAATGGAACTTGATACTGTAAGAATCAATCATGCATGTAAGACTTTGTAGCTATTTTTTGATTAAATACATCTGCAATTTCAATGGGTACAAGAGTACTGAAAGTTCTTCCTAATCGTCCTATTTGACCAATTTGTTGTTTCCCAACGGCCATCAACGGAGAAAAATCCTTGAAGAAGCAGACTACACAGCAATGTCGTAGTAAAACAATTGTGGTAGTGAACTTGCACGCCAGTCACCACAGCAAATTCCTCTCCTATAAAAAACACATCATGTCCTTCGAAGTTGGTCAAAAGCAATAATTTTAACATCCTTTCGGGGCCTCAACGTCGAGCTTGGGTGGCTAACTAGCTATGGCGTAGACGATACATGTTGGGAAGCTGATGCATGAGATGATATTTAGTAACCATGCACCCGCACCCTCACCAAAATTAGTTATCTTGATGACATTAAAGCAGGCCACTCCTGTGTCCCTTTATACTTGTATTGATTTTGAATGTTAAAAATAAGTAGAAACCCCAACACCAACAGATGTACTACTATTTTGTTTGCTTGGGGAAAAGGTAGACTGACGGGTTGCAATAGAGAATAAAAATGCTATATTAGGAGTGGTTTATATATAAGAATAGTGCTAGGAGGCCCATTTAGACCACTGCATGCACGATCAGAACTTTAGGAAATCTTTCTCCATCACTAAACCCATAGACAGCGTGGTCTTTGGTAAATTTAGAAGAACATTTTGATCCTTATAAGTCAATATGTGATATTTTAACAAGAATTATTAGAATGTGTTATTTCAGTTAACTCCCTCCAATAGTCCAATGGGAGTATTTTCACTAAAGCCAGGCAAAATCATAAAAAATCCATTAAGTTTCTGGTCATTGACTGCCAAAATGCTGTAGCAAACAAAATATGTGAGCTTTTATTCATAAACAATAAAGAATAGGTGATTGCAACGACTATTCATCCATCTAGAAAAAGGCTACTTATAATTCAAAAGAACTCCTTGTCCCTTAAAGATGATTTCTACTCACCCAATCCTTAAATAAACAAACAAAGCAAACTGGTACAACATGCATCAACAAAATTTAAACCAAACATAAAGTTAGAATACAAAGATTTTGACTTAAAATATCCACCTACTACTTTGAAGCATGATTTCCCAAATAATTTTTCAACACATCCATTACAGCCCCGAAATCTGCCTTCACTTGCATAGGTGGATTAGCAAACCTTCAAGCCATATCCTTGATCTCCTTTGAATGATACTCAACCTTACTCTGGGTAAACTTCAACCCATGAGCTGTACTAACCACCACCGTCCGATCAGTGGGGCTGATAACCCCGCTATTCCTAAGCTTAACCAAAGCTGTCAAAGCCACTCCAGTATGAGGACATATAAACATCCCAGTGGAATCAGCTTGAGCCATTGCATCCATCAACTCCTCTTCAATGGCTTCCTCAACAATCTCATTACAATTTCCAATGTATAAACTGCTCTATCTATGGACACCGGATCACCTATCTGAATAGCGGATGCAAATGTGGTATTAGCTTTCACAGATTTAAAATCCTTCCACCCCGACTTGTAATACAAGTAAAGCGGATTAGCATTGGCGGCCTGTGCACAAACAAGCCTTGGCATTCTATCTACAAGTCCTAATTCATGGCACATCTTGAAACCTTTATAAAAGGCATAAATGTTACCTAAATTCCCACCTGGTACAATTACCCAATCAGGCACCTGCCAATCAAACTGCTGCAATATTTCTATTGCAGCAGTTTTTTGACCTTCAAGCCTTAAACTATTCAAAGAATTCGCCAAATATATCGGCAATTCAGATGTAACTTCTCGAATCAATTTCATACACCCGTCAAAATCAGTATCAATACTCAACACAAACGCGCCATTTGCGATTGGTTGAACCAATTGCGCTATTGAAATCTTATTTGCAGGTAAAAATACAATCGAAGGAATACCTGCCGAAGCACAGTACGCGGAGAGAGCAGCTGACGTGTCTCCCGTGGAAGCGCAACCCACTCCGACGAGGGGTCGTTTCATTTTCCGTAGTCTGTTCACTTGGCTGACCAAAACGGTCATTCCCAAATCTTTGAAACTGCCCGTGTGGCTAATTCCACAATGTTTTACCCATAAGTCGTTCATGCCTAAAAACTGTTTTCCGAAACGCTCTGCCCAGAAAAGGTTGGAGTTGCCTTCAAATGCCGAGACGATGTCATCCGGGTCGATCTCGGGTAGGACCCACTCTTTCTTGCTCCACACTCCCGACCCGTAAGGCCACGTGGTCTTCCCCACGCGTGAATCGAAGAGGTCTCTCCAGTAGGCGCCGTCGTACTTCTTTAAAGCTTCCATGTCGTGCAGGACATCGAGTAGGCCACCCGAACGGCTCCGGTACACAATCTCGTCGAGCGAGTAGCACTCGGGCGAGTCGGGACCCACGTTGAACGGGACGTATTTGGCGGAGAAAGTGTTCTTCGAAGAGGAGCGGTGTCGGCGCGCCTCGTCGCGGATGTTCTCATCGGCGGGGCGACGGGTCTTGGAAAGCACCGGCGAAGGAGGGGAGTTGGTGTTGTTGTTGGAGCTGTTAGTAGTGGAGGAGGGATTGGATGTGGATGAGGTGCAGGAGATTAGAGTGGGTGGACGGTGTGTGATGCGATGATTGTTGTGATGAAATGATCTGATTTTGGGCTTGGGATGGAACAATGAACAGGATGCCATGTCTGTAAAAAGAGGCTCTACTAAACCAAGGAAACAGGTGAAGCTTTGTTCGGTGATACTGGTCTTAAAGGCAGCTTAGTAGTTATTGCAGCCTTTAGACGCAGTCGTTTTGGAAAACTTGTCTTAATTAGCATTTTCAGCACGTGCTGCTTAAAAGCTGACTTTTAGTATATGTCTTTATCTTTGCAATCCACTTTAAGACGGCGTTCAAATATAAGATAATGATTTATATATTTACAGTAAAATATGAATCAATAATAGAAATTATAATATATTTATAAATATAGAGATTTGTTACTATGTGTCTTGAGTGAAAAGATTATGGAAATCTTATAATAATACATTTATTTGTTTAAAAAGAAGATGAAGAAACACATTTTCATGGATTTGTATAATCCAAATCCAAAATTTGTTTATTTAAAAACGATGGTGAATGAATGCTTGGTTCTCTTGTGAGGCGGCATATGAGCAAATGTGGTTTGGTTTCTTGGTTCCATAAGACCAAGAGAAAATCTGTTAGCATATTTTGTTCCCTTTTTTAATTTAACGATTGTATTTATAAGATCTTACATCGATATTATTCTATTCAATATTTTACCCCAGGGAATAAACCCTTACTTTTTCTCTTTTAATTTAAAGTCTTTTTTTTTTTTTGTGAAAAAAAAAAAAGAAAAAGAAAAACTTTAAAGTTAGAATGAACGGGTGCGTTGAGGCTGCGGCTTAGCCTTGGACTAAAATATCATCGGAAGGTTTAACCAGTCTGGGCTGAGGGCCTTACTGGGCTATACTCCCTGTCGATCAGATTGTTGGGGAAGTATAGTTTTACTTCTACTTCCTCTCCTTTAATCCTCTTTGTAGTTTGTAATACACTCCCAAGAAGTTTTTCTTATTAAAACAATTAAGAAATAGGAAGAGAGTGAAATACACATCAACATATTGCAAACTATTTTTTTTTTTTTTTTTTAGAGAAATAAGAATCTTAGATATAATTAAAAGGTACATTTTATTGATGAAAGACTTGTCATATTTATTCTTGTCTTTAAATAATAATAAATTATTTAAAAAACTATTGTGGCTACATTTTGCCCTGTTTGTGATAAATATGAGATGCAGTGATTGGTTTTAAAAAAACTTTACCCTTCAAGTTTAGTAAAATCAATTTGGCCCCCAAATTCTAAAAAGTGCCGTTTTCTTCCTAAATATTCAACATAGTAATTCACTAATTCACCCAAAGCCAAGTAGCCAACAAACGTCACGTAAAAAGCTAAAAGATGGAAGGCGAAATTGTTAAATCACATTTGAAGGTCAAAGATACCTCACCCTCACCATCATTTATGGCTTCCGTTTGGGGTTGAATTTGCGGTGATAAATGGGTTATATGTAATTTTGTTTGTTTGCTTATTTTGCCATATAAAGGAGGGTTGAGTGATTTCATCTAGTTTTGGGTCGAATCAGGGCATTTTAGTCTTTTACATTGTTTCGTTTAATTTTAGTAATTAATGGAAGGTGCAATTGTCATTATTTTGAAATGTTTTGGTAAAAAAAGGTCGCTTTTTAAAACATGAGCACCAAGTTATACCACATCAAACTTGTAGGATAAATATGTTACTAACTCAATACTATTTTGACAAAGGTATTTACCTATGCCGGCCTAACAATTTTCTTTTGACAATGTTACAAATTCAAGATTTAAATCATTAGCATTAAAATTACAAATGAATAAAATCATATATAAATAATGGTTTTCATTATCAAATTAAAAAAAAATTAAATAATATTAATATGATTTTCTAACTCATGTATGCGTTTTTTTTTTTTATATTCTTTGTAGGTTTAACTAATGAAGCTGTCCCATATGTGAATTATGATGGTGGTTGTACGTTTCTAATAATTAAAATTGTGGTCAGATTAATGGTAATAGTTATAAAAGACAATAACATAATGTTATGTGTGGTTTTTCCATCAAGCTTGGGCCAACTTGAGGATATAGCTCGATCTAGAATGAGCTCGACAACTACTATTGATCGATCCAGCATAAGCTCATCCAGCTATAGCTCGACCTAGCATAAGTTAGTCGCGAACAATTCAAGAAATCATTCAATCAATCCCTAGATTAATTCAGATCCCAGATATTGCAGGAATGACTGGATCAACGGTGATCATTGTGCAATTAGAGCACCCAATATTATTTAAGCTAGTCGTGAACAATTCAAGGGGGTCACGAATTTTAGATAAGTATTGCATTGTTAGCTCTCGCAACAAATACAAAAATACAGTGGACGTAGGCCGTTAACATGGCTGAATCACTTTAAAAATCTCTTTGTCTTTAGTTCATTTCATTCATATTCATCGCTGATTATCACTAATCATGCACACATCGGTTCCAATCCCATCAAGGTTGATCAGATCTCGTTGGTTGGTGCAAAATTATGTACCAACATTTTGGCGCTAGAAGGAGGGCCCCGCCAAACCATGAGAACGGCCAGTTGATGGAGATGATCAGGACAATGGTTGCACAGGTGGTGCAACATAACGTGGCTAAGCTAAGGAACCAACAACTAGTTGCTTAGAACCATGACCAGCAGCATTTCGCCAATGCAATCCTAACAGGTATGAATTCTGTAGGTGGACAGTTTGTTTCGCCACCGCCAAGGGGCGATCAACACTTCCAATCTTGCAGGCAACACTCCACGCACGAGCGTGAGTCCCGCGGGCAAACAAACCTCGAGAGACAGTTGGGGAAGCAACCGCTGAGGGAAAGCGAAGGCGACGGACACCACCGAGTAGCTCGGCGATATCCCTAGCATTAGCGTGCTGATTTTAACCCACGCCCAAGACAAGATTGATCTTCATAGGCTCGCGAAGCGAGTCATGTGCATCAATCTGGCAATGACTGACGTTTCGGTTATGACCAATGTTGCAAGCAATGCACTGACGAGTATGATAGCACATATCAACCCAACCATCATGACTCGACCTCACGCATCAACGCGCACGCCAGATGAGCTTTGCAAGAAACAGACTTGGAGACTCATTTGCTCGAGGTAAGGCTTAATAGTACCAGCCAGGGCAACCAAAATGAAGACTTAGATCAAATGCAGAGGATGCTTGACGATCTAAGAGCTCGCCAGAACAACCTGGTGGAGTGATAATCATATTTTACACTATGATTTTGCATTGAATTTTGATAGGATTTAGGATAATTTTCATACATTTTGGGTAATAATTGCTACCTAATTCTAATAATTTGTCTTTACAGGCCTAAACGATGATTTTGAGCATAAATGACAGTTCTGAGTGTAAATTGTGTAACTTGAGCTTGAAAACTCGGAATGACCTGAATTTAGAAGCTTTGGAAAGCCAAGAAGAATAGCTACAACTTTCATGTTTTGGGTTTTTCCTAATTCTGACTGGACAAGGGTGAAAACTTGGCTTGAAGTCGTGAAAAATACGCTGGGAACTAAAGAAAAAACGTCTTTGGACGTGCTTCAGTATTTCTGCCATAACTTGAGCTTTAGACCTCTGATTGTGCTGATTCTTGAACTAGTAGAAATATAATTGAAAGGTATACAATTAATATGTTTAACATGCTCAAATTTGGCCCGAAATTCCTCACCGCGGCAAGGAAAAAGCTTCACCGCGGCGAAAGCTGCATCAGCTGTAAAAATAAAACGACGCGTTTTGGCTGCTAGGGCTTCATCCTTAAGTGAGAGAGGTATAAATTAGAGCAAAAAGGAAGAGGAAAGGGGTCTTGGTTCGTCATTTGGAAGGCAGCTCTTGGAAGGAGAAGAGTATTGAAGATTTGGGCTTCAATATTAGAGAAGATTTCTCCATCTTTTGCTTGTTTTTCAATGATGAATCTTGATTCAGTTTGTTTTTGTTATTTTATTTCGTTTTTGAGTATGAACTGAGTTGTTTAGCTAGGGTTTGATGTAACCTTGATACAATGATTCAAATTTATATGAATTGATTTACTTTGAGTTTTAATTTCATGATTGAGTGTTTATCTCTTTGCTTAATGACTTTTGGATGCTTGATCACTATTCAAATGTGTGTTATTCACAACAAGACTGAGAAGTGATTTGTGATTGTGCCTCTTGGGATAAATACCGTAGATTAAGCAAACGCTAGAGATAGGTTTAGCAATCTATGAAATCTAGATAGAATTCCATAAAGCGTAAAAGACTTTGAACTATTAATCTTCATTTTGTTGGGTGTGAAAGCTTAATAGAGATAAGTAGGGAAATGTAGCCTGAGAAGGTATGTTTTACAACTTAGGGAATTCGATTTTCAATCAAAGAATTAGAACTTGGGTAATAGATTCTATGAATTGGGTTAGCGTATCTAGGTGAAATCAACACCCTAGCATTTTTAGCATTGTTTAATTAGTTAAGTTGTTGGGTTTTGCTTTAATTTCATTATCATTAATTTATATTTTGTTAATTTGTATTTAGTTTGTTAATTTTCCATCAATCCAATTGATTGTTGCTTCAATTATGACTTAAACTAGAGAAATCGGTACTTAGTAACACTATCTTCGTGGGAACGATACTCACTCATCACTTTATTACTTTTTGCGACTAGTATACTTGCTACATTTGCATGTTTATGAAACCACGCATTATGGAGGAAGTAATAAGTTCTCCCTTTACAGAGGAATTTCGTCAGGCCCTGCTTCCACAAGGGTTCAAGGCGCCGAAAAACAAGTTTGATGGGCGAGAGGACTCTAGAGACCACCTCGACAACTTCAATGACTTGATGGAGCTACACCAGGTTAGTGACTTAGCGAAATATTGGTGTTTTGCAATCACATTAGTCGGAGATGCAAAGAGGTGGTATAGAGACTCAAGGTGAACTCCATCAACTCCTAGCAACAATTCCCCTTGCTGTACTTACAACAATTTCAGGCAAGCAGGAAATTCGTGATGTCGCTTAGCTACTTGAGCAACATTTGCCAAGAGCGAGATGAATAACTGACCTCGAATTTAACGAGGTTCCAGAACAAGCAAGTAAAAATCGTTGACGTCCCCAAAGAATCCACTCGAACTTGGCTGAT